AACCTTTAAATGATAAAACTTTAGCTGTTGTGTAAAATAACTTTATCAGAATGGCACATGAATATGCATTATACATCGGTGTTTTCGCAACAAGTTCGCACTAACTACGGCCGCAATAATTTAGTCGCTGTAACATTCTTTGCAATCAGCTGTTGGTGACGCTTCTGACGCATGTTTCCAGAAACGCGTGGTTCATTGGTTAGTTGGTTTTTGCTGGGATTTTGCATGATTTGTTTTATGTGTAGATCGACTGGATACTTATTATTCACCGTGTCACTATTTGTTTTTAACTGGAAATCGCATATCTTTTATATCAACATTCATTTTGATAACAATATCATTCCAGAAGCCTAACATTGAGAGGGAGCCAGAGTAAAATGTTGATCCTCAGCCAATGCTGAAGGGTAAGGTGAGAGAAAGATTTTACTGAACTCTTTTCAGAAAGGAATTTCAAATGTATTGATGCATTATTCGTTTTCCACTATCCAGTGTGCACTTCCTGAGGACTTAGCATAGCAATTTCAAGTCCTTACTATTTGTTTGGCTGTCTTTTTCTGCACAGCAATGAAGCAAGTAAGGTTTATATAGCTCTAGCATTGACCCAGCTGTATTTTTTTCTTGCAAAAGCAGGTTTTCAAAATTGCGGTTTTTTTGCGGGTTCGGCTCAGCCAAAATCAGCTTGCGGGTAGTTGTGGTTGGGCAAGGGGTAGCTGCGGGGCAGGGCGGGTAATGAAATTGCAAATTTGTGGCATCTCTAATCTGGAATATCGGATATCTGTCGGGCAACCGGACTCGGGCACTGGAAACGATAGGCATGGCCTGCTGCCTTATATAAGACATTAACCGCCGTCATATTGCCGTCCAACCGTTCGCGATATACATAGTGCATTTGCCTCTTCTCAGGAGTCTGGCGTTTCGTTCCGATGGGCCTTGCAGCATATTGCCCAATCAGACGCAATCAGGCTCTTTCGGGCTCGTTGCCAGCAGTGGCCGTTCGCGTGCGAGCCATGTAGGCAAACCTAAATCGATCCAAGACCCAAGTAGACTTACCTAAATGGAACCACATAGGCTACAGCAGAGTCGATGTGACGGCCCGCGTCCTAGTGGATAATGCCTGAAAAGCTGCCCTAACGTTTGTGTGTTTGTTTTTCTGTTGTTTTTTTAGTCCTGCCTCCTCTGCGATTAGGAATCACTATCACCGTGTAGGGTTTTGCCTGAGTGAGGAACGCTTCTGTAGGGTTTTGCCTGAGTAAGGAACGCTACTGGAGGTATTCCCTTCGCAGTTTTGCGACAGTCGCCCTTGATCAGAATTACAGTTTTATTCGGGTAAAATAAGTCTGTGTCGCCCATGCCGCGAAGCGGTACCGTGACATGAATATTCAGGAAGTTATGAATGAATAGTTATTAGTTATTAAGTTATTATATCAGGAAGTTATTATGAATATTCAGGAAGTTAGAAAAAGAAAGCAATAAAGTTCAGAAAGAAAGAAAGTAAGGAAGTAAGGAAGGCTCCGGAATAATCCTGCGTAGCTCCCCATTGCGACAGCGGCGTTCAGTGTGACTCCGACTGGCAGCGACTGCGTTCATCTGTAGGTATTGAACTTGTCACGGTAAGCCGGGAAATAAACTGACGAGATCTGGCAGCGGCGTCACTGGCACCAAACGATGAGACTGGGCCATGTGTGTGCTCTTTATTCGCCAAGTTTGCAGAAGATCGGCCACATCGTTTATCACAGCTTCAATCTAGTTCATCTTAAAGACATCAGTTGTGCGTGTTTTCTTCATGAATTGTGTGAAATTAGCCCCTATCTTTGTAGATAAATGTAGGGAATCTACTGTTTCAGCTTAGTTTATTCTCCCATCTCCCATTGTGCGTCTTTATACGATTTTAGTTTTATTTGATGCTGCTACCAAATTTGATTTTTTTGTGAATTTAGTTGACAAAGTTGTTTGATGTCACTGTGTTTGGTGACATCATCCTGCTCATGACTGAACACCGCAGACTTGCATCTGGTTTAACCACATCGGCGTCCCGTTTGGCCTTTGTCTGGCGGACTGGGTCCCAGTTGTCGGCCGTATGGAAGGGTTAGCGGCGGTATTGGGCGGCCGGCCGGGTGGGAGTCGGTGACCCGCCGACCCGCGGGACTGTCCCGCGGCGGGCGCCGCCGCTCGTGGTGTGTCCTGTTGCCGGGCCGGCCGGGTGCGGCTCGGTGGCCCGCTGACCGGGTCGCCCCGTGACTCCCGCGTGGCCCGCTGTGGACTGGGGAGTAGGGGGCTCTCATTGTCTCCTGTTGCCGGGCCGGCCGGACCGTATGTCCCGGCACGTGTCGGAGCTCCGGCAGAGGAGAGCGGCCCCCTGTCTGGGAGCCGGTGTCCGTGAGGAGCTCAGTCTCCGCTCTGACCCGCCGCTGCGCCCTGCGGCAGCGGCTCCCCGGATGTTCGCCGGCCGTGGCGCAGTCGGCAGACGCGCGTCTGATGCCACTGCTCTAATCATGCGTCGATAATGGCATTAATAACCCCGGCGGATCGTTTGCCGCCGCTGCGTCGGTCTGAACAACTGCGCGGCACGCTGGCTGCGCCTCCTCCTCGGAGCATGCTGCTGTCCGTAACTGCGTGCTGGGAGCGGCTCGCCACGGCGGGTCGATCGCAGTGCGCCGCTTCCACTACCCACCTGCCGGCTCGGCGTCTGATGAAACAGGGCGCCCACGCACCGCGCGGCGCCCACCGGTACCGGTAGACGGTCACAACTGGACGGCGCAGGCTCCTCACACGGGCCGTCACGGCTCTCTCGGTAGCTTCTCCGCCAATCGGCCAAATCTTCCAATGCTGTGACGCCGGATACAGCTAGAGTTCGCGGAGATTATGCAATAGACTATTTTGTGGACGTTCTTGACTCATTTATGACCCCTTGTCCAGGAAGTACAGCCCTCAGCAGACTGCGTGGTAGGTATTCTTTTTTCGACAAAACCAGTAATAACTCAAAGACTATGTGATCTGTCGGTCGGAATTCTTTGCAAATAGAGGCACCATGCTCCACTCCTTCAATTGGGTCTATCACTAAACAAAGTATATGCTTTGTGTGGCAACAAAATGCAAAATGCAAAATGCAATGGGTTTTGTTGCCAAACTGGATGGAAAATGAATACGATGGTAATGCCCATCTGAAGTGCGGAGTCTTGCGCGTCTTGCTGTTACGATTTCCGAGTGACCGATGGCATAGTATCCGCGATATTCTCGGTTTTGTCGAAAAAAAAAGAATACCTACCACGCAGTTTGCAGAGGGCTGTACATGTCTGATCCCAGGAAGAGCCTTATCCGGGACATATTACCACATGAATTGATACCAAAATACGTGTTGGTGAGTTTTAGGCATTGATTTTGTAATGACGTAAACGCCGTATCAGCCACGGCATGGAGAGCCTTCATACTTCAACTGTAACTGGGACCTCTGAAACCTTTGGGTCTTTGCCGTAGACGGGTTTCTAACTTCAAAGTGCATACCCGCCATTCAAATGGACCGAACCGAATTGCTAATCAGTTAAGATTGCCAACACATACCTAAGAAATCAATGTTGAACAAAGCTGTGAATGGGAGGTTTGCTGCTCTCAGGTTACCTCATTAGTCATTGCTTTCTCGCCGGGAAAAGGCCGGATGTCCCCAACAGACGTGGTCACGTGCTGTGGCGTGTCATTTGGCTGGTGCCCTGCGCTCTGCGCAGTTCTCCGGGCTCTGGCGCCGGGTGGGGCGCTGCCCACCCTTCCCCCGGCCCGCCCCGAGTTGGCCCCGGGCCCTGCCGTGCGCGGGGCGCCATCAGGTCACCATCCGGATCGGTCCGGATCACTCCGGATCGGCCCGGTCCGGCGGCATCCATTCGGCGACGTGTCCCGGCCCGTGCCGGGGCCTATGTCAGACTCTAATGGTGCTGCTACCATCTGACCTACGGGGCACGGGGTGACGTGAGCGGTCCCACCAGCCCGCCATTAGGGTCGCCGCGACGGGTGCCACTGGTCCTACCCCGTGTCGGCGTGGGCCACCGCAACTGACCGACTGACATCGCACCAACGCAATTGACCTTGACCGACTGACATCGCAACAACGCAACTTACCGACTGACATCGCAACACCGCAAGTGACCATCGTAGCTGACCGATGCGGGCCGCCGGCAGCGGAGGCGCACGTGGTCAGGATATGGGCGCCTTCCGGACCGGAAACGCAATGGGACGCGGCGGCCGGCCGGTAGTGGGGGCAGCCCGCGTTACGCAGATGCAGATAGCTGATAGGGAGGGAGCGTCCCGTGATGGTTTTGTGTCGCCGGTTATGTAATAAGCTGCACTCGAATGTTCGCGCTGTTATGTGTTGTCTGAAGTTACATAATCGGCCGCCCGTTTGGGATGTAAGGCTTCGGAGGCGGGTAGGGAGGGGTAGGGGGATTACGGCGCAGCTGCCGAGCGACCGACTAACTGCGTCGGACCAGGCCCGCCACCGCTGGACTTGACAATGCATGTGTCGTAAATTTCTGCCCGCGGACGTCAAACACGAGATTGTGGCGCAGAACAGCGAATCCTTGGAGTTTGATAATGATAAGCCTTCTGCTGAAACAGCCAGCGGCCGTATCAACGGGATTCCGTCGCCTTCTGGTACTATCCCAGCTGTGTGTTCTGGCTTCGAGTTCTTGTCCGTGTGTGCTGTTATCGAGTGCCTGTCCGTGTGTTCTGGCACTGTCCCAGTGACTGTAACGTGCCCTGTCCGTGCGCTCCCTGCCGGTGTGTTCTGGTGCTGTCCCAGTGACTGTAACGTCCCCTGTCCGTGCGCTCCCTGCCGGTGTGTTCTGGTGCTGTCCCGGGTCCCCTGTTGTGTTTCCGTCCCCCGCTGTATGTTGCCGGTCCGTGTGTTCTGGCGCTGTTTCCCGCTATGTTTCCCGGTGCTGTCCCCTGTCGGTGTGTGTGTGTGTGGCTCGCGCTGCGCACCCCGTGCCTGACGTGGCCGGCCTCTCCGGCAGGACGTCTGAGGACGACAAGAAGCGGCGACTGCGGGCGTTCCTCAGCTGCCTGCAGTCGGACACACCCACCATCCGCAACACCGTCTACGTGCCCGAACACCTGCTCGTGCTCGCCTGCGTGCTGCGGTCAGTCGCCGGGGAGACCGGGCCGGGTACCACGGGAGCGGGCCGGTACCACAGCGGTGGGCCGGGCCGGGGGTACCACGGGAGCGGGCCGGGGCTGCCACGGGAGCCACGGGGGTACCACGGGAGCGGGCCGGTACCATAGCGGCGGGCCGGGCCCGGGGTACCACGAGGGCCACGGGGATACCACGAGGGCCACGGGGGTACCACGGGGGCGGGCTCTCCCTGGCCTGAGACTGCGGCCAGTCGCTGTAGCCGGACGGGTATGCACTGCTCCCTTTCCGGCGTCACGTGCTGTCGGCGCCGGAGTGCTGTGTCCGCTGCTGTGTCCGCGCCGTGTCCGCTGTCGGCGCCGGAACCGTCCGTCCAGCTGTGAACGCCGAGCTTTGAGCACGCACATACGTCTGAGAGCCGGCGTTAGACCTGCCGTCCTGCCCGGCGGTTTTGTGAGCCGGTGGGTGGCGGCGGCCGTGGGTCCGACTTTTCCGTGTCGTCCTCAGGTTCATCTTGAGCCAGACGTCCGGCAGCCAGCAGCCGTCCATCTACAAACCGGAACTGGACGCGTTCATCGCGCAGGCGCTCTGTCCCAAACTCGCCGACACGCAGTACCTGCAGGAGCTGCAGGTGAGCCAGGCAGCTCACCGACACGGAGCTGCAGGTGAGCCAGGCAACTCACAGACACGCAGTACCTGCAGGAGCTGCAGGTGAGCCAGACCACTCACCGACACGGAGTACCTGCAGGAGCTGCAAGTGAGCCAGACAACTCAGCGGCTCAGCGGCAAACTGACCGATTCACTGACACCGACTCAGTGGCAAGCTCACTGAGTCGGTGGCAGCGACTCAGTGGCAAAACTCAACCGACTCAGGGACAAACTCAACCGACTCAGTGACGAACTCACAAACAAGTGGCATTCGTTGACTGAGCTCGGTGACAAACTCCCCGACTCAGTGACATCGACTCACACTGTCTGAGCTCCGCGACTCACTGACACTGACTCACACTGTATGAGCTCCCCGACTCAGTGACATCGACTCACACTGTCTGAGCTCCGCGACTCACTGACACTGACTCACACTGTATGAGCTCCCCGACTCGGTGACATCGACTCACACTGTCTGAGCTCCCCGACTCACTGACACCGGCTCACACTGTCTGAGCTCCTCGACTCAGTGACACCGGCTCACGCTGTGAATTCGCCGACTCGTGCTGTCTGAGCTCCCCGCGACTCACCGCTGTAAGATACGGGCTCCCTCGGGGGTCCGCCGTTGTGGACAGTGCCGACCGGCTCCCCTGCCATCCGGCGCCTCTATGTGGGAAAGGGGTGTCCGTTCCGGCGCGCAGCGTCCAGTGCTCGGCCCTCCGTTACCAGTCCGCAGGCCGGCGCACCAGGCTGCCTCACCGAACCGCGGGCATCCGTCCAGATACACGGCATCAGCCCTATCAGATGACGGCACCCGAGCCCCACACTACCCCCGGTACCGACTGGCCCTGTTCGCCGTGACCGCGGCCTGATCCCTGAACGTGGATCGCGGATTCACCCCGTTGGCGGCGGAGCTCCATCCAATCGGTGGGCGGTGACTTGTGAGCTGTGGCCTGTGACCATCACCTCGCCAGCTACTGGTGGTGACCTGACCTGTGACCTGCCGTTTCCAGTTGTTGTCTGTGACCTGACCTGTGACCTGACCTGTGACCTGACCTGTGGCCTGCCATCCCCAGCTGTTGTATGTGACCTGGCCTGTGACCTGACCTGTGACCTGACCTGTGACCTGCCGTCCCCAGCTGTTGTATGTGACCTGACCTGTGACCTGACCTGTGACCTGACCTGTGACCTGACCTGTGACCTGACCTGTGACCTGCCGTCCGCAGCTGCCGGCCGTGACCTGCTGTCCCCAGCTGTTGTATGTGACCTGACCTGTGACCTGCCGTCCGCAGCTGCCGGCCGTGACCTGCTGTCCCCAGCTGTTGTATGTGACCTGACCTGTGACCTGACCTGTGACCTGCCGTCCGCAGCTGCCGGCCGTGACTCCGCGCGGCGTCCAGCTGGGTAACCTGTTCATGCAGGGCGTCGAGACGGCGCTGTTCGCCAATGACGCGTGCGGCGCGCCCATCCCGTGGGCCGTCTGCTGTCCGTGGCTCTTCTTCGACGGAAAACTGTTCCACAGGTGAGTGCACGGAGACGGGAGGGGGGACAGCGGGGCCGACAGTGGGCTCAGAGAGGCTTTGCATAGTTAGGCCGGCGGCAGGCAGGGAGGAGGCCATTGGATCGCTCGGTGTTGATACAGATCGTGGTTGTCCGGCGCCTGCTGGGTGCCCGGCCGGTCGCCGGTGCCGCCAGCGCGCGGCAGCCAGCCTCTCACCGTGAACGGGCTGGGTGGAGACCTGAGCAGCGCGGCGGCGGCGGTGGTGGCCTGAGCAGTGCGGCAGCGGCGGTGGCCAGTCCGGGCACTGGCTCCGACGCGCCGCGGCGCCCTTCGGCTGGCCCGGTCATCACTATTGACCCAGTGACCTGGTCACTGGCGGCGCCTGTTTCGTTTCTGGTCACTGGTGACGCCCCGTCCTCGCTAGTGACCTAGCGGCGCCCCGTCCTCGCTATTGACCTGGCGGCGCCCCGTCCTCGCTATTGACCTGGCGGCGTCCTGTCCTCGCTAGTGACCTGGTGGCACCCCGTCCTCGCTAGTGACCTGGTCACTGGCGGCGCCCCGTCCTCGCCGCTCACCTCTCTGATGTGAGCTCACTGAGCGGTCTGTCTGTCTCCCGTTCCTGGAAGGAGCAGCCGACCGTCGCCGGCCGCTGCTCCCGGCACGGGGTTGGCTCACGGCGCCGTGCCTCCCCGGGGTCGGTCGGAGAGCGGCCGTCAGCTCGGGTCAGTCGCGTCCGTCACCGACCGGCGCGGCTCCCAGAGCGGTTTGCTGCCGCCGCCGCCGCTCCCGGGAACTGTTGGCTGTAATGTCGCCGAGGCCGTATTGACCATCGGCCGCTGCGTGCCAGTCGGTACCTCTGACACGGGGATGTACTGTTTCAGACTGCAGTTACTGACTCCTACGCGGTCGGAGAGTCTGCGCCGGGCAGTCTCTGAATGTTGACAAGCTTGTGACAGGCGTGACGTAGGTACTTAGTGTGGACTTGGCTAAGAAAGCTAATCATAACGTTGCTCCCAGTTGTACCGCTTTGGCCACCTGCGGCTCAGTATACCTCGATAAGAAGTGTTTCACTGGAGTCGGCCGAGTGAGGATGACGGTAGCTATCGAGGCACGGATTATTGCATTGTTTCGCAGCTGGTGTCTCGTTCGTGGTGCACCACGACGTAGTTGGGTAAATGTGTATGTTGCTCCCACCCCAAACGGCAGGCCTGTTGGCCTGAATCTCCTACGAAGAAGTCATTTTCCAACCCTTTTGTTAGTAATGCGCTTTCAGCTGAACACTGGTGCCATCGGTCTTCTGCCGCTGTGTTTGGTCATCCTCTGCAGTCTGCCGCTGTGTTTCGGTCGTCCCTGTCGGCAGTCTGCCGTTATGTTTGTTGATCGTTCGTCTGCCGTCTGCCGCCGTTCATCACGTCAGCCCTGGCGCCGAGCACCAGTTCGGCGCCCGATTGAAGCTGGCGGGGAAGCTCACCGTTACGCTGCGGGTCGCGCCCCGTCGCCCTGTGTGTAGTGTATCGAGTACCTAGTGCATCGGGTGTCCGAGGCTCGGCATCGGGCCCCCGGTAATACGAGTGTGAGGCGGCCGCACCCTGCTCGGCTCCAGTCAGAGCCAGCAGTCGAGAGGCTCCGCCCGGCCGCACAGCACGGCGGTGCCTTAGTGTTCTGCACCGCGAGTTTGTGAGAATACATCGGAATCCGGAGACGGCGGTGAACACTACATCTGGCGACAAGGATGAGATCCTGAATACTACCGACGATGAACGTCGAGGGGGTGTCGCCGCCAACTCCGTTCCTGGCGAGACCAGGAAAACCAGCACTGCCCTGGAGTGACTGGATTTTCAGTTTCCACAACTACCTGACTGCCCTGGGAGGTGAGGCCTACAGCACGGAGAGGAAGACGGCTCTCCTTCTGCACTGTGTCGGCGCCGAGGCGCAACGGGTGTACCGTACCCTACCGGTCCAGCCGAGGAGAGAAGACGAAGACGAGTTCCATGCGGCTGAGCGGCAGCTCGCCGAGTTTTATGAACCTCAGGTCAACGTGATCGCGGAGCGGTTCTTCTTCCGGCAGCGACGGCAAGAGTCGCACGAGCCGACGGCCGACTACGTGGCGGCGCTGCGCCGCCTGGCAGTAAACTGCTCGTTTGGACAAATGACAGACGCAATGATACGTGACCAAGTCGTGGAAGCAACAGTGCATCCGATTCTCCGCGAGCGTTTTCTGCAGGATAAGGGCCTGACCCTGGACCGCGTTCTGGAGATCGCCGAGGCATTCGAGCGATCCCGAAGACTGTCCACCAGCAGCGTTCATTGACGAGGTACGCAAGAGCCTGGCGGTGTATCGAGCCACCCCACACACGACAACTGGGAAGTCACCGTCAGAGCTCCTGCATGGACGACAGATGAGGCTGAACCTGCCTGTCATTCAGCCGTCAACACCAGGAGCCGACAGTGTGGCGTCTCGAGTTCGACGCCGACAGCAGTCCAACAAGAGGTCCTACGACCGCCGCCGTGGCGTGACGACGCCGCGCGTCACTGAGGGCGACTACGTCTGCGTGAGACGGCAGGGACACCGCTCGAAGACGTCCTGTCGGTTCACGTCTCCGGTGCGAGTCACTGGGCGCGTCGGTCCCGCAACGTACCGTCTGGCTGACGGCCGGACCTGGAACGCCGCCCATCTGGCCCGTCTCCCATACGCGCCGGCGTCTCCCTCAGCATCTTCCCCCGCTGGGCCCGGCGAGACCACGTCGACCGCCACGACTTCCGAGGCCGACGCCGCTGGCCCGCTGACCTCGCTCGCCGCTGCTTCTCGCCCGTCGACCGAGACAGCTTGCGAGCCGTCGCCGGACGCCGCCGATGTGAGCGTGCAGCGTCCCAGGCGAAGCGACCGTGTCTGTAGACGACCGGACTACTACGTGTCGCAGTGATGCTGTTCCTTTTTTTTGCGAGAGGGGGGAATGTGTAGTGTATCGAGTACCTAGTGCATCGGGTGTCCGAGGCTCGGCATCGGGCCCCCGGTAATACGAGTGTGAGGCGGCCGCACCCTGCTCGGCTCCAGTCAGAGCCAGCAGTCGAGAGGCTCCGCCCGGCCGCACAGCACGGCAGTGCCTTAGTGTTCTGCACCGCGAGTTTGTGAGAATACATCGGAATCCGGAGACGGCGGTGAACACTACACTGTGTATACAGCGTCCCTGCGCCGGCGGCCCGGCGGCCGCTGTTCCGTATCTGTCGCGGTATCTCCCGGCCGGCGGATGGACGTCTGCCGTCCGTGCTGATAGCGATACCGGGTCGGTTCCCGGAGACCCTGTGCTGGTGCGCCGCTCTGCTGTTCAAAGCGCCGCCCTGCTGTTCAAAGCGCCGCCCGCCGCCGGCGCTGGCTGCTGCTGTGTGCCTGTGGCTCCCCTCCGGGGGCGGCCCTCCTTCCCTCCCGCCCGGGGGGTTCCGCCGGGGGACAGACCCACCGGGGATCCCCAGACAGCCCTGCATCCGGCCCGTCTGCCCGGTGTCCGTTGCGGGTATTCTGTGGCCGGTGCAGGTATCCAGCCGTGTATCGGATCCCGGTCAGGGCCCGGGTGCTGTCCGGCGCCGGTCTGCACTGGGCTGCCCGCTGACGGCTGCCCGCCGCCGCGCGGCCCCTGTGCCCTCGCCGGTCAGTAGGCGATCGATAACGACTCCAATGATGCGGCACTGCGCAGCGGCCGGGAAACGTCCCGCCGGCGCTCTGACGAAAGCCCTGCGCCGCAGACTATACTTAGTTTATATGTTTACCGGCGTATGGATCGGGGAAGCGCTTCCAACGTCAACTGCGCGCTGTTGGCGGGAGGACTGAACCGGTTACCGGGAAGGAGCGGCGGCGGCTCTGTGTCCCGTCCCCGGGCGGTCAGCGCGCGGTCAGCGCTCACCCTCCGCCCACCCAGCCCCGCCGCGTCTGTCGGCCCGAGAGCGGCCACATCAGCGGCCAGTGTCCGCCCCGACCGCCCGTCCCAGGTGCGCCGTCAAACGGCCGACGCGCAGAAGCCGCTCCCAGGTGAGCCTTTCTGACGTAAGGCGGCTGCGCCACAGGGCGGTGTCTTCGCTCCTTCTGCCGCGGCGTCTGTGCCCGCTTGGCCGCGGCGTCTGTGCCCCCCACCTTGGCCGCGGCCGCAGGGACCGTCCCCGTGCCGCCCGGCCACGGCCTACTGAGTGACCGGTTTACGGACGCAAAGCTACCAGCACGGAACGTTAGGTTTTCCTCTATTTGTATTCTCTTTTTCATTCCCCTTTCCTTTTCCTGCCTTTTCTTTCTTTATTTTTTATCGGCCCGTCGTGGCGTCGTCCGTCCATCTGTCCGGCTGCCGCTCGGCCTCATGGTCGGTTACCATGCGTACGTTATGCCCCAGGCAGTGCCGATCCCGGGCACTGCCTGGGTGCCGCCCCGGGCACTGTGGGTGTCGCCGTTTTCCGACCGTCAAGTAACTGGTCGACTGCGTCCGGTTACCTACAGGCTATATTTATTCCTGTCTTCATTTTAGGCTTAGTAGATTATAATCTAGTCTATCTGCTCAGCCATATGAGTTGGCGTTTTTCTTCATAACTTAACTCTCGATATTCGTCTAAAGAGCTTTTGAGCACATAGGAACGGGTTAAAACTGGATTTTCACATTTCGTGGCGTTGATGTGTTCCAATGTGTGTTTACTCGGGCAGTACCCGCGGCGCGGCGCCGTCGCGGAGGTCTCCGGTCAGAGCTGTAAGACCCGGCCGGTGAGCTGGCGGGGGCCGGCTGGCCCGTATTTGACTCCGATAGGCGGGAGGGCCCGTGTCGCCAGCCTGCGCCGCTCGGGACTGTCCCGGGCCCGGCGATCTGCCGACAGCCGGAAGCCGAGCGCGGGTCGGACTCCGAGGGCTGGCTGTGTCCGGTCACACCGGTAGTGTCACTGACACTGAGGGGGTCCGTGTCTCTGAGCCAGCCGACTGTCGCGGGGTGGGGAACGGAGGGAGGAGGAGCGTCTCCGGTCCTCTGGGACATCTGCCCCTCTGTGAGCCGCCTGCAGAGACCGGGGGACCCGCCGCCGTCGGTACGGCCGGCCGGGCAGGCGCGGTCCTGGCGCGATTTAGGCCGCCCTCTCCCCGCCCACTGTCCGTCCTCCCTTCCCTTCCCTTCCCTTCCCTTCCCTTCCCTTCCCTTCCCTTCCCTTCCCTTCCCTTCCCTTCCCTTCCCTTCCCTTCCTCCCTTCCCTCCGGCCGGTGATGCCCTGCGGTGTGCGGCGGTGCAGGTCCGACCGCCCGCACTCGCCCGTGCTCCGGGTCTCGTACATTCCGTGTGCGCACCTTCCCGTGCCGTGCTCCGGGTCTCGTACATTCCGTGTGCGCACCTTCCCGTGCCGTGCTCCGGGTCTCGTACGTATGTATGTATGTATGTATTGACGATCAAGAGCAATCCACAATCGGCGTGGCGATTACACTCCGAGTCCGAGCTGGTTGAAGATAACACAAGAAATACCTATACAAGAAAACGCACACACTTACGGATACGAAAATGCACAACGCGAACGCCGAACACGCTCATACTTGGAGTAACCCGCACGAAGCCGCGTTCATAACCATACACACAGACTCGTTTGCCTTTCATAGTCCAAGAGTCATGAGGCTAGCTACTATGGCTACTCTGGCTAGGCTTAAGCTCCTTTTTTACAGCACGGGCAAATCTGGCTGGAGGCAACTGCGTTAGCTCGAGGGGGAGAGTATTTAGGAGCGCCGCGGCACGGTAGGCGAATCTACGTTTTCCGGTCTCTAGTCGGGGTCGCGGTAAGTGGTAGAGGTGGTCTTGGCGAGTAGACCTTGCTCGTGTTTGGGAATTTTTGGAAAATATTCCGTGTGCGCGCCTTCCCGTGCCGTGCTCCGGGTCTCGTACATTCCGTGCGCGCACCTTCCCGTGCCGTGCTCCGGGTCTCGTACATTCCGTGTGCGCACCTTCCCGTGCCGTGCTCCGGGTCTCGTACATTCCGTGTGCGCGCCTTCCCGCGCCGTGCTCCGGGTCTCGTACATTCCGTGCGCGCACCTTCCCGTGCCGTGCTCCGGGTCGGTCGGACTCTGGTCCGCCGAGTCCAGTTCAGTTCCAAAAAGCGGCCATCAGGACTGGAGGGGATCCGGGTCGGGCGGTCCACTACTGCGCGCCAGGCGCGTCCATCGCACCGTCCGACCGGCGCGGCGGCCCGTCCCCAGCCGCGCACTTCATCGGCGCGGCGCATTTCACGCCAATAGGCCAAACACGACAGGACACGTGCCAGCTGCCTGGGTTGTTTTATTCAGTACGTTTTAAGCGTTGTGCTTTAGGTTTATAGGATACCGAATTGAGTTCGTTACTGTTGGCGAGGTATGCATGTCGTTTGACGGTGAGCTAAAGTTGTCGCCCGGTCCTGGTCAGTCTATCCATAATGTGTATTTTGTTTGATTATTTTTCGGAGCTTTTTTATTTAACTTGCAAATGCATATTTACCAAATGACCAACGGTGGTACGTATTGTGTTTTGGGCCCGGTGTCGGTTGGCACCCGTTCCTGTGGGGGTCAGTATGTGTGTCTGCTCTGTGAGCTGCCTCCCTGCCGCCGGCCGCGGCCCGCAGTTTTCCCTGACGCCGTCCCCCTCCGGCAGCTACCTGCTGAAGGCCGCGCAGAGTCGGAACGTGACGCAGCTCTGCGACGACCGGGTGGAAATGGTGGCGCAGCTGGAGATGACGCGCCAGGCGGTGCTGGAGGGCCTGCCGGTGCAGTACGGCCGGCCGCCGCTGCTCAGCGCCGCCCCCGCCCCCGCCCCCGCCCCCGCCCCCGCCGGCCGCGGTCGGGGGCGCGGCGCGGCGCTCTCGGCCGCCGCCGCCGCCGCCGCCACCGATCCGCCGCTGGACCGGCGCGGCGGCCGTCTCGAGGTGGGCGGCGTGGTGGTGGGCTCGTGGGCGGCCACGCCGTCGGGACGGGGCGGCCGGGGCGGCGGCGGCGTCGGCGGCCTCCTGCCGGCCGGGATGCACCACCACCGAGAGGTGTACGGCCGCTCCAGCCTGCCCAAGGCGCCCTCGCGGCGGCCGTACACGCCCAGCGGCAAAAAGCAACAGGTGGGTGACCGGAGCAGCAGCCATGAGATGGCCCTGACGTGCCACTCCAGGGGCTCAGGTGCGCAGTGTGCCCTATGGGTGGGGTATTTGGGTACCTATCGGACTGAGGCTAAGTGCGGCCAGGGCCGCCGGTGACGCCTCCGCCGCTGACGCGACGTGTGTCCGCTCCGGAGAGGCTGACCGTGTGTGTGACGTGTGTCCTTCAGTGTCCTCTGTGTGTCCTCAGTGTGTGACTCGTGTCCGCTGTGTCCGTTATGTGACGGGTGTCCGCTGTGTCCGTTATGTGTCCGTTATGTGACTGGTGTCCGCTGTGTCCGTTATGTGACTCGTGTCCGCTGTGTGTCCGTTATGTGACTCGTGCTCGCTGTGTCCGTTATGTGACGGGTGCCGCTGTGTCCGTTTTGTGACGGGTGTCCGCTGTGTGTCCGCTGTGTCCGTTATGTGACGGGTGTCCGCTGTGTCCGTTATGTGACGGGTGTCCGCTGTGTGTCCGTTATGTGACGGGTGTCCGCTGTGTCCGTTATGTGACGGGTGTCCGCGGTGTGTCCGCTGTGTCCGTTATGTGACTCGTGTTCGCTGTGTCCGTTATGTGACGGGTGTCCGCTGTGTGTCCGTTATGTGACGGGTGTCCGCGGTGTGTCCGTTATGTGACTCGTGTCCGCTGTGTCCGTTATGTGAAGGGTGTCCGCTGTGTGTCCGTTATGTGACGGGTGTCCGCTGTGTGTCCGCTGTGTCCGTTATGTGACGGGTGTCCGCGGTGTGTCCGCTGTGTCCGTTATGTGACTCGTGTTCGCTGTGTCCGTTATGTGACGGGTGTCCGCGGTGTGTCCGCTGTGTCCGTTATGTGACTCGTGTCCGCTGTGTCCGTTATGTGACGGGTGTCCGCTGTGTGTCCGTTATGTGACGGGTGTCCGCTGTGTGTCCGCTGTGTCCGTTATGTGACGGGTGCCGCTGTGTCCGTTTTGTGACGGGTGTCCGCTGTGTGTCCGCTGTGTCCGTTATGTGACGGGTGTCCGGCTGTGTCCGTTATGTGACTCGTGTCCGCTGTGTCCGTTATGTGACGGGTGTCCGCTGTGTGTCCGTTATGTGACGGGTGTCCGCTGTGTCCGCTATGTGACGGGTGTCGGCTGTGTGCCCGCTCGACAGGCCCGCTGGAGGGGCGCTGACGGCCTCGACTCGGACAGTGAGGAGAGCCTGCTGCCGGCCGGACGCGCCATGACCGTCGACCTCCCCGACACCAGGTGCGTGTGTGTGCGCAGACGGCGCCGCGACCGAGCCGGACCGCGGCCGTGTGAGCCACATACCACACATCACTCCGTGCAGAACAAATACGCATCGTAAAAACTCGGCATAGCAAACGGTATTATGCACGCCGCGCCCACTATTCCGGTGTAAACTAATCGCAGGATCACACTCAGCTGTACCACGCGGACGGTCTCGTTTGGCGCTGCGGCGTCACGCCGTGCGCCGCGCCCCGTCCGTGAGCCGGTCGTGTCCGCGCCGGTGCGTCCTGTGTGTCTGAAGGCGCCAACTGCGCGCGCCGTGGGGGTGGGGTCGGCAGCGTCTCCGATCGGCGGCCGCTGAGGGACGCCCTCGGTCCGTGGGCGAGCCGGCGGCCGCCGACACTGACAGACACCGGCGGCGGACCGTCAGCTGGTGCGCCACACGGGGCAGGACCAGCGCCCCCCCCCCCCCCGGCCCTCCCTAGCCATCGGCGACATGATGCAACCAGCAGGAAACGCACCATCCATTCATTCATTCATTGTGCCACGTGGGCGGCGAGCGCAGGAAGGGATTCAGCCGGGCGGGCGGAGCTGGGGGCCAGGCCGGCAGGCCGCGGCTGGGCCAGGGGCTGTGGCCTGTGGGTCAGGCCGGCGGGCGGAGGAAGGGGTCAGTCTGCCGGGTGACGGCCGATCGGACCCCGCTGCTGATGTATGGGTGTGTGGGTGACTGGCCGGCCGGCCTGTGGTGGCGCTGATAGGACCCAGCCTGTCCATCCCAGCTGAGGAGAGGAGCCCCAGTTTGGGGGTGGGTGAAAACTAACGCTCGGTAGTACCCGCCTCCATGCACCCACCCACACGCCGCGTATGTACTTACTTGCAATCAAGACTGGGCGTGTATAGTCGCGCCGTAGCTGAGTCCTAGATAGCCGTTCTGACCTGTACCCTCCCTCCTCTTGCAGGGAAGTCGGTGACGCGTCGTTAGGAGGCTCCGGTAGCGAGGTGCCCGGTCAGTATCAGGACGCGCCTCTGCTGCACGTTCAGTAGCGGCGCGCGCTGCGGTCAGGCGCCGGCCGGTGTCTGTCCGTGACACCGGGTGGACGGAGACGGGACAGGCCGGCCGGTGTCTGTCTGTGACGCTGCCACACCGGGTGGAGGGAGACACGCCAGCCGGTGTCTGTCTGTGACACCGGGTGGACGGAGACGCTGCTGTCTGTCTGTCTGCCACACCGGGTGGACAGAGACGAGACACGCCGGCCCGTGTCTGTCTGTGACACTGCCACACCGGGTGGACGGACAAGCCGGCCGGTGTCTGTCTGTGACGCTGCCACACCGGGTGGAGGGAGACACGCCGGCCGGTGTCTGTCCGTGACACCGGGTGGACGGAGACGCTGCTGTCTGTCTGTCTGTGACACCGGGTGGACGGACAGGCCAGCCGGTGTCTGTCTGTGACACTGCCACACCGGGTGGACGAACAGACCGGCCGGTGTCTGCTTGTGACACTGCCACACCGGGTGGACGGACAAGCCGGCCGGTGTCTGTCTGTGACACTGCCACACCGGGTGGACTGGATGGGACAGACCGCTGTCTGTCTGGTCTGTCTGTGACACCCTGTGGACCGGACCGGACCGGACAGGCCGGCGCCGGGAGCTCAAGGACCGTCTGCCCCCCGCTCCGGCAACCTGTGATGGACTGTCACTCCACCGGGATAGTCGACCCGCAAACCGACACGGAATTCCATAATAGAGCTCGCATGCTGCCTGCTGCCCGGGTACCGGCGCGGTTGTCAGTCGCCAGTGTATGATGTTCGTTGTTGTGTATCTCGGTATATGCGTGTTTCCTCAGAACGGGTTCGGTCAGTTGTTCTCTGGTGTCCGCCCTGCCCTGTTCGGCACTGTACTGACAGCGGTGCCCGGTGGCCGCGCTGTGCTGTGTGGGTCCGGGCGGGACTGTGTGCCCGGTGGCCGGGCGGGACCCTGTATCCGGTGGCCGGGCGGGACCCGGTGGCCCGTCTCCGGCCCGCGGCGTCAGTACCTGTCTCTGCGGCGCTCAGTAGTGCTCTCTGTGACAGTCAGTGAACGGCCGCCAAATCGCCAATGTCAGGATCGCTCGGGGACTGCAATAGATAATGTGACGCACTGGCCGGCTCCGGTGTTTGGTTGTCAGGCCCAGAAGCACCGTTTTGTTGAGTGACGCCGATGGCGCTGTTCGGTTGTGTACCTGGTGTAATTGTAGAGATTGTGTGGCTCCGATCGCGTCTGTGTTCGAGTCCAGTGGCGGCGGCCGGTGCCGTCGGCCAATTGGTGAGGGCCGACCAGAGGTGGCTAGTCCGGCCGCCGCATTTTTACGTCCCTGTTGAAATACAATGTCAATCGTCAGCGCGCCTCTCCCATCTCCCACCGGTTAGCGCAGTCGTCAGCCCGGGGAGGGGGTCCTACAGCCCGGAGAGGGGGTCCTACAGCCCGGAGAGGGGGCTCCTAGAGCCCGAAGAGGAGCTACCACCACAGCCCGGGGAGGAGCTACCACCACAGCCCGGGGAGGGGCTCCTACAGCCCGGGAAAGTGACCCTATAGCCCGGGGAGGGGACCCTTGCAGCCAACCTACAGTCCGGGGAGGGTTTCGTACTGCCCGGAAAGGGGGATCCTACCGCAGCCCGGAGGCGAGTTACCTAAGTGTGGAACTACCCAGCGCCGAGCCGGCCGGATGACGTCACACCACGGCCAGTGCCGGCGCGGCGGCAGACTGGCCGAGATTGGCATGGTCTTAACTTGGCGAAGAGGCATCGGACGCCAAAATTCTGCTGCAGCTATTAATCACATTTCATGCGTTTCTTCCATGTGTATGAGCACATTAGGTAGTCCTTCGAATACCTAATGTGTAGATGAGCGTACCTGCATTTAGCAGTGTGTGCTATGCTATGTGGATGGGCACATCCGACAGTCGACACACTGCGCAATGGATTCCGATATTGCTTGGCTGATTCTGGCTTTGTGTCTTCGAACGAACCATTGAAAGGGAGGACGTCATTTTTAAAGGTTGTTAGGTGCACTCAAACGTTTTAAGATAAGCAACTGCTGATTGAATTTCTGGCGAGGGTTGGTGGAACGCTCTGTTTACAAATGAGTATCTACCTACCTAGTACCTACCGGCTACCTGCAGTGGCAAATAACTGGGTCGCGGTCAGTTAGGCATGATTCACGAAGTCCCTTATCTTTTATTAGACTTATTAAGCCCAATGTGCAACATTTGCGTCTTTTCGCGTTGTATCGGGTAGCAAATGAGAAAATCTGCTTCTTCTCCACAGCCCTCATTTCAAGAAACCGTCCTTTTCCTTATCGCATCATTCCAGAACATAATTTTCAAACATGGGTATCTTCCCCACAAAAAAAAACTGAAGCAATTTCCTTCGGCTCCAATGCGCCGCTCGCCCAGGGAGACGGAAGTGTTATATTCTCGGCGGTCCAGTCTGCATTCTGCAGCACACTCAAACTTGGCGGACCCCCAGCGCACGACTGAACGATTCGTATTGTTGTGAGTGACTGTGACAATTCACTGGTGGTTTCGGAATGATTAACAGGCGGCGCAGCCCAGTGCCTCTTACAATGAATTACAGTGGCGAATGCACTATTGCAGAGAAGAAATGGATTAAGCAGATGCCCAACCTCGCTGTATTATCAACTAAACATTAGGTACGCTTTACATTTTAATCAGGCAATCATGTAAACAAACGACTTGCGAGTTGCGACCTTACATAACTCGGCAGAATGCCCCTGAGTCGGCTAAACCACACTGCATCTCTTCAAACCTTAAGTATTTTTCAATTTACCACTCAGCTATGCAACAGGCTTATAATTCACTGCTCAAGTCTCAACCCCTTTTTCCCTATCATGTTTTTGGCACCGTCAATCGCCATCTGCGCTGCCCACTGTCCAGCAAATAATCCGGCCGTCTCCAGTTCTCTGGCAGGGGCTTCCAAACTCAAGCGAACTCGCCGAAGTTTCGCCATTCAATGCGCAGGATCTGTACAATTGAGTTTGAGAGCCTCTGGGTTGGCTCGGCGCGCCTGCGCCGCGCCGTTGGTCCGGCCAAGTACGCGAGTGACGTCATGCTATAAGCGTCATCCCCCGACGAAAGTCACCAATCAGAGCCCTAGAATCGATTTGTAGTTCCACACTTAGGTAACTCGCAGCCCGGAGAGGGGTTCCTACCGCAGCGGCTGGGAGAGGGGAGGCTCCTACCACCACAGACGGCTGGTTCTTCAGCCCGAAGAGTATGGGCTCCTGCCGCTAAATATCCGACACAGGTAGATTGCACCGTCTGTGACCGTGCCCGCGACACCGGCGGTCGATGACGCCGGCGTGTATATCGATCTCCGCTGCGCTGCCGGTGCGGGACGCGTCACCCGGAGGCGGCCCGCGTCACCCGGAGACGGCCCGCGTCACCGGGAGACGGCCCGCGTCACCCGGAGACGGCCCGCGTCACCGGGAGACGGCCCGCGTCACCGGCCGCTGACGGCCCGCGTGCAGCTGCTCGGAAAGCTCCCGATTGTCGCTGGGGCCCCGGCGGACCGGGCTCGGACGGCCGCGGCCGGAGCGGCGCTGGGCGCTGACGTCGGCCGGGGTCGGCGATAGGACCATCCTGCGACTGACGGCCGGCCGCCGGGGAGTACCCGGAACAGTGCGCAGCCGCTCACGGAACCGGCTTCTGCGCGCCGCGCCGTATACAGCCTATCGGTGACTTTTGATATCGACGCTACGACATGGCGCGGGTAACGCGGTGAGCGGGTCAGCGGGGACACCTGGAACAAACAGCACGGCGAGGTCGCTGGGTCTGTTTGTCGCACGTCGCTGATGCCGTGTGTGAGTCGTCCCGCGCGCGAGCCTTCCCCGTGGGTGCGCGGTACGAGACCGCTCCCGAGCTGTCGGCGGAGTCATCGGCCATTATGTAATCACATAGGGACTTGTCCAGACCCCGCGGGTATCCATATCCGGGCGTGTTGTTATTTCTCATCCGCCGTGTTCGGGAGCGGCCGTCCTTGAGCCCTAATATCGCAACGTAATCTCTGTTTACGCGATATGAGCCAGCTACGAACGGTGATACGTCGCACTGCCGGGACGACGGAAATAGAAATTAATTATTTTCGTATCAAATGGCATCCGGATTTCATGTCTGAACCGAGCCTTTCGGGACACGGCCGTCGCGGCGGTCCTGGAGTAAAAATACACAGATGCTCTTCTGTGGGGGATGGTCGTGCCGCACCGCCCGTCCGCCCGCGGCCGGCTCAGTCGCAAGCGCCCCGGCTGGGCGGCCGTCGCGCGACAGGTTCATAAGCCGAGGTGTGCCGCCGCCGTCTAGACAAAACGCCTGTAACGCCGGCCCGCAATCCAGGAACTGGCGCCGAGTCGTGACCAGCCGCGGATGGAGCAGTGATTAGATGTCCGTCTGGCCGGGGCCGGCCCTCCCCGTCGGGCCCGGTTTGGCCGTGTCGCAGGGTGGGGTCATCGGCGCCGCTCCCGTCGCCGTATCGTGCCCAGTGAATTAGCCGAGGTGTGGTGAATGTACCGACCCGCCGACAATGAATCCACTGGGCGGCCGTGGCAACACGGAACAGCCGAGCTTGCCCGCACTGGGCCAGACGGCCCTGGCGTGATGGGCCTACCTAGTACCTATATGTAGGTGTATGAGTAACTATGTATGCTTTTGAAGCATTTGCGTCAATCCAATTGTGGCACTATACGAGGGATGGTTTGTAAACGGTAGTCGTGAGTCTTTTGAACAATAAGATGGAAGCACTCGTGCTAACACGGAAAACAAGCTGCAAAACTGAGCGGAGCACGTTTATAGGTAGGTACGACCCAGTTACCAGGTCGGACTTCATCTGAACTCGGGGCGCGGTGCAGGCCGGTTCGTGTGGTGTATACTTACGGGTTCCCCCAGCCGTCGCACTGTCGGCGACGGACAAATCGGTGTACGGCGCCGCGACACACAATACGACGCCGCCAGAGCTGGCTTCGGTCGTTTGGTTAGCGGCTCAGAGCAGACTGGCG